CCCCAAAACCCCAAAACCCCAAAACCCCAAAACCCCATATATGCTGTATTTAATCTATTTTATTAGTTAAGAAATCAATATTTAATTCATTTTTTGGCTTATTAAATTTTCATCATTCATCGAAACTTTCTACTACTGATATAATATGATAAATCTTATTTTTAATTCTAAGCTCTTTGGCATCATTGCTGAGATAGTTTGTTAACCTATCTTTCATACCCTTCACAATATAGATATTTTCCTTGCAGTTTTTAACCAATACACTCATCATTTTGAAGAACTTAAGCTCCATACTTCCAGTCAAAGGTATTTCACTATTTCTTTAAAGTCTTTCATTGCATATAGGCAATACTTTCTTGCCTATTATACGCTTATAGTCGTTCTCCTCTCTAACCATTTGTGTTAAGAAAGAGTAAATGCTCATTTCCATTACTTCATTAATAGTCAAAATTTAATCAATTCTTATCAATTTTATTACAGCTTCAATAGCACCAGCATTATCGATAAATAAAGATTTAGCATTCAATGAATATTGTATTAATGCTCTAAGTATTTAAAGTGCCAAAAAAGTAATTTTCAAACTGAATTTAGTCATAGGAATATCCGGACCCTAGAGTATCCTTAAAAGTGAATGGACACACTCATTATTATTTTCTTCACTAATTTATTTACCAATGGTTTCTGATTTGTTTATGAGTGCCTGAAGTAGTTTTAATATGTTCAGCAAAGTATCCTCCTCTTTACAAGTTAAGTACTCTAGAATGGCATTTAATCCTTATTTTTGAATGAAAATATCCTTGATATCATCGCTATAATTACATAAATTCACTAAAGCCTAAGTTGATAGAGATGCCAAATTGTAGTTGCCAGTTTTCATTGTATTAATTAATGGCTCTACAAGATTTATGAACTCTATTTTGCTACTTTCATCTGCTTTTTTCATTGATGGTCCTCCATTTGTATGCTTTGGTCCACCAGCAGTTACACCACCCCCCGGAGTTGTTGGCCCTTTACCTCCATTTTCCTTTTTTTTCTCAGCAAAAAGCTTGATGATCTTTCTGCATGCTGCTTCTTTTACCTTAATTCTTTCACTTGACTTCAGTATATGAATAAGAAAATCTGGGTAATCCTTAGGATTCAAAAAACTGAACTCTTGTTGCAAGTATCCACTCTCAATCATAACTATTAGGACATTCTCATTATACATTTATGGCTCATTGGAACCAATAAAATTCTTGATAATAGTTGTGATTGGCTCGCCTGTTCGTTGAAAACCCCTATTTTTCTCTCTAATATGTAGGAGATAAACTAATTCATCCTTAAGGTTCATTTCGTCTTAAGATTCAGTTACGTTTTAAATCATTTTTATGAAGGTCTAAAAAGTAAATTGAGACTATAGGAGTCCTCCATTAAGTATATGTGAAAGATATCTTGCTATCTTTTAAGTCCAGTTACTATTATCCTTAGCACGGAAAGAAACTTCTTCAAAGTTACTTACAATGACACCTGGTGGCTTTTCAATGTATTCATCTTTCCGGACTAACTTCATGTTTTTCAGCTATCTATTTAATTCCTTTGGATATTCACCATTGTATCTTGAAAGAATGGAAAGAATACTCCTAAGATAATTAACTGCATAAGTTATACCTATTGGCTGTATATTTAGATTGTAATGATAAAAATTCATTGTGTCTTCATCCATTAATAGTGCATTTGATCTTTCCTCTATAATGTTTTTGTAGATCAGATTTTGTCTTTGAATTGGATATATTGAGTCAACAATGAGATGGTGAACCATTTAAAAAAAGTTATCTGATGATCTATATTCTCCAACGTGTCCATGCTCATTATGAAAATCAAATATAGAGATGACCACAATATCCTAGAAAACTTCCATTAAAGGAGGAATGTATTTCCTTCTGTGGACAGTAACAAAGAGGTCAAAAACATGAGTTCTAATATGTACATCCCAACAATTAATCTATGCTTTATCTGAAGTAAGATTATACTTTTTAATATAAGGCTTGCTAGCCATTATATAATACTAAGTTTTTGCATCAATTCTACTCATAGCTAAATTTTAAGCGAACTCCTAAATATCTTTTCTATAATCTGGCATTTTACAAAGATTGTCTATAGGACTACAATCTGATATCTGTACAACCACATTTTCTTTTTATTCAACATTTATATATTCTGATTCTTTTCCTTTCTTTCTAATGAATAATTTAGGGATGAAAAACTTGTAGCCTTTAAACTCTAATGCCTTATATCCTACAGGTGGTGCCAAAATTTTAGAAGGTATCTTCGATTGATGCCTACTCGAGCTAATATTTGAAAAATCTTTTCCTTTTATATCAATCTTCTGTCTTAGCAATAGTGGAAATTTGGCGAATGTTCTATACCTATACATATAATCTATCTGCCAATAGCAAATAAATGAATCAATTAATGTAATCCTATCTTGAGAGTAAATGTTAAGCTTTTAAGGATGAGTAGGATCTCTATTATCACTTAACTAAATTTATACCAATGAAACTTTCTTCTCATCTGTGAGACATTTTTCTAAATGAGCATATTTAATTGATGCCTAGCAAAGACTTAGATCATTCTTGATGAAATAAAATGAAAATCTACCTAGGACAAGGTAGTATTGCTCCTCCATGTACTCTATAAGACTCACATAATTCAGGGAATCATTAACTATCGCTGACAGAGCTTTTAATATGGCTGGAGATGTAGTTTATGACATTTAAATTTATTCAAAAATATTATAATTTAAAATGAATATAAGTTTAAAAATTCTCTTTGGTTTGTACTTTCTAAATACTCTATGCCATTTTGTAAGAAGTGATCTTGAGTGGAAAACATGCTGGGATGTTGAACTATAAGATGACACCTTATTTTGTTATGGAGCGATTACATGGCCTATTTCAGAGAATCTCTATTACAATATCAATGATGCTGATTCAAGTAAAATTTTAAGAATAATCATTATTAGAGGCCAAACTGATGTATAGGACAATCTTAGATAAGTGGAAGAGTAAAGCGAACTCAGATGATGATCCAACAAATGATTGCTTGGCTATTGCAAGAGATGTATATTGTGCTTATAACATACCACGCTGCAAAAACTCTGATAATGTAATTTTCTTTCAAAGTTTAATTTTACTAGTAAGCTTAACCACTTTGTGGATTTATATGTGAATTATGGAAAGAAAGATGTCCAAGTGTAAAGTTAACAATTTTTAATAACAATTTAATAGGAATCTTAAGATATGTGCAATGATACATCAGGAGATGAAACTTGCTCATTAGCAAAATATTTCAATCAAATTATTTCAATTCTTGCTATAGCTACTTTCTTGTTAACTTTTAATTTGTGATTAACTAATTACCAATTTTAAGAATATGAAACAATCATGGGGTTTTGGGGTTTTGGGGGGAATTAAAACTTTA